TTCTACTTCCATTTGTACATTCGTAGTGGCGTTTGAATGCGATGTGGCCTATACAATGACTTGCGGGGGCCAGCCGATGTACAAGTCAGTGTTTTTATCCTCCCAGACAAGTCTGGTACCAATTAACCGACCCCGGAGGGATGGAAGGCTTGGTTGGCCCGGGCGACTCACGACCCAGGATTTGATCCCCGGACCGCTCGCGTGGTAAGCGTGCCACTTGCCACTACACCACTTCCGCCCTCTCGACAATATGTATGAATTCGAGCTTAACACGTTGACGACCGTGTGGTATGATGTCATACCACACTCTTTCGGCCACGTGGGACCGTGTGACATGATGTCATGTCACAGTCTTTTTTAAGCTGGTTTTCAAACATTTTAGGTAACTTATTTACGTGATGTATGCGCCATACTTAGGCATTGTTACAAAAGGCGTGGTCCCTGGAAAGAAGCTTCGGTTGATGGGCTATCGAGTTTTTCTAAAAATGTTTGAATAATGGTCAAATCACAGGAATCGCTAAAATGGCCAAAATCGCATAATCGGAGACCTACCATACAAGAAAGATAACAAATACACACTTCCTGAGTAAAAGGAGTTCTTGTGGGACCGTTTGACATGGTGCCATGTCACACTCGCGCGGTCAAAATAATGCGCGCGGTCCCACACGCCAGACAGCGAAAAATAGCGCGACTCGTTCATACAGTGTAAAACACTTCAATTTCTTCGTTGAAATAGTCGATCATCTCTCTGTATTTCAACACCCGACCTTACCAGAATCATCCCTGCATTTTCCTGATTGTCACCAATTATTCAGGGGCCTATGGCTAAGCGCGCGCAACCCGAACCAACTGGGCCCACTCTGGGACGCGCCGTGCGCTTCACATCCTTTCAGATTCCAGGCCTCATTCGAAATGATAAAATATCTGCCGGTAAACATGCGAATTTCGGATTCTTTAAGCCTCTAGTCTTAATCAATCACTGAGGTAGCCCGAAATTAAAAGAACTTGTCATTTAAATCTGTCCCCCCCCCCCGCCCCTCTTAACACCGATAGCTTGCAAAGCCCCACTTCTTGATCGTTGTCTTCCGACAGTGATGTTCCTACTGCATCGATCCCTCACAATCCTTCCCCCCCTCAGCGAGCCAAATACGACCCCTGTCGCCCTGTCGAGGATTCTTCAACGCTCTCTTGACCCCGATTACCATTCCTTCCTCAACCATAAGGCGGAAAGTCGGTGTAAGTGCAAAAGTCCGTCCGCCCGCCTTAACCACGCGAGGCGATCGCGGGGGAATGAACTCTGGGTCTGGGTCGCTCGGCTGCCAATCGACGGCCTTCGCATCCTTGGCCGATGTGTCGTTAAACTTGGTATCCAGACTTTGTCGGGGCAGAAATAAAAAACTCTGGACTTGTACATCGCCTTGGCCCGACCCGCAAGTCACTGTATACTCGCCCACATCGCCATTCAACGTCACTTACATGTGCAGAATTGTGCCCGCACCCCGCTCAAAACAAGGAATGATCAGCGGCAGATATGCCTTTTATCCTTTCTAAATTTTATCGCCTCAATCTGTAGGAAGACTTTGCTTGACCGTCTTCTTTGCTACCTCAGGTAACAAAAAGCTGGTTTTCACGTACATAAGTGAAAGCATCACTAGCTCGGACACGTAGAATCAAGGATTCCAACGTCAAAGCGGCAACCTGGGACTTTGTGAGTTGGTAGAGCTGGAACTGTTTCAGCCATGAGAGCTTCACCACTGGATCCCATTTCTGTAGTGAATAAATGGTTAAACTGATGGACTTCTGACTGTGCGTGGGAAACATAACAGTCGGCAATGCTCGTCCGCGCTCTGCGGCAGTCCAACAAAAGCCTCCAAGCTCCTTATGTGAAGTCCCCATCTGATAGGTTGAGCGGACGTAGCACTGACAGATTACCATCTGCGTCTACCATCTCAATGGAAGAAATGAGTTACCGATTACGTCCGGTGATCCAGACCTTGTCGAAAAGGCCTTATTTCGAGTATATTGCATTAAAAGCTCAGTATTTCTAAACAAAGGACATTTATTCATTGAGAAATATCATTTGTGTTCATAAAACTCGTATGTCTTCTAAACGTATAACTTTTTGAATTTGCACACCAATAATCATATTAAGAATAACAATCTAGAAAAAAATCCGATTCATGTCTGTTCGAGAGCAAATGATCCTGCTCAACAATAATTAGAAAAGAGCCAGCATTGACAATCCTCCTCACCACGAATACTGGCTCCATCTTTCCAAACTACCACAAACTGAAAAACACGTATTAAAAAGGTTTCACAAAACTGAAAAGCAGGAAAAAATTCGAACAGACTCCAAATGAAAAAGACGGCACATCACGTACCGTATCCCGGAATGGTGCCACTTCGACATCTGGAAGATGTGCACGAATCCGTTTAACCCAGTACTCGACGCCATGATTAGTAGGGAACAAGTTGAGACACAGTTCCCAGCTGTAAATCAATGAGCGTAGGTCCTCCTTTGAAAATCATACGCGTATACAGTTCTCCCTTCTAAATCAAGTTCAACCTAGTGACTACCGGCGCCGGAAACGCGGAATAATGACCATGGTCGTATAACGGGCGAAGTCTGCGATCATATGCTAAACCAGGCTTGTTAATCGACGATTCAGCCGGATCCAACCGGGCAATCGGCGAGTGCTTTTTGCTCACCGGTTTCTGCAAACAGCATTGCGCACAACGTATTTTCCTGAATAACAGCGATCGATCAAGTGTATACGTAAGGCGGTTTTCTAATAAAAAAGAAACGGAGATCCGAGTTGAATGGCCTGATTGTGAGGAACCAATCGCGTACTCTTTGTGATGCAAGGAATGAGTCACCGCACTGGGCTCACTTTCGCAATGCTGTCGCATCACATCGCCTGCTTGGAATCGGACACACTCAACCTGGCTGGTCTAAGATGCCAAGAAGTTGCAAGCCGGGTCTCCTCATAAGTGATCACCTATACTCCTCCTATAAGCCATTTGAGACTCTATGGCGCTCCTTCATCTCGGCGACCTTACCCATCAAATATAATGGTATTTCCTCATTCATCGCTATTTTGGTATTCTGCCCAAGCTCCTTCAAGCAAATTCTAATGTATGTTCACACGTAGCAATGTGGATTAGGGCATAAACGCAGTAACTTTTAACCGAACAATGCTCTCTCCTAGTAGCCCTTTCCGAGTTCAACCAGTGGCAAAAAGACAAATAGACATGTTCTTTCACGTGACGTGCTGTACTCAAGAAACCTCTTGAACTGAAGCCACAACACCCGATCGCAAGCCGATTGAGCGGAACGATCTGGTCACTGCGCGCGATAAGCACGCCGCCACTTGTCCTCTGCCAGCGCGAGGTAATCAGACATAGATGGGTCTAATTTTGCTCAAGGAGGAGCAGACCCTACGGCCAGTAGAAGAACCCTTGTTCAGAGAGGTTATCGGTGTCGGATTTTAAGAGCCTGCTCTCTGTCGTGAAAGCCGACCTACACGGGGTAACCTGCTATGGGGGCCGGTACAGCGTCTCTGTTTGTGTTCAGATGACCAGTCCATGGAGGTTCTTCGCTCTTTTCGTAACAACGGTGTGAATCCCACGCTACACAAAAAGATACGATTCTCATAGCATCTGAAATCGCCATACGTCCTTTTGTCAGCTCGTACTGCGCGCAGCGCCCTGACTCGCGAAATAGATCGAACCAGTTCCTTGAGTTGGTCAGTTGGCACAAGTACTGGTAGTGATTGTGCATCAAATACTTAACCGCATTGCGGACCGCGTGCTGCACCCGATTGTGCACAGCGCCATCTTCGAGAAGGACTGAGGAGATACGAATTTTTTCAACAATTTTGCATAATGTATGCAAAATCAGCATTTTGCTTTTTCACACACAGGATATATCAAGTACTTGCGTACTGGATTAAATTTTCGATAGATTATTGGCCACGGATAAAAGAGATGACAAAAACCTACGGAGGTGCAATTATAACGGCGGTCCGCAATGGGTTACACGAAGACTTTTTTGCGCTCGAAATATAGTAGCTCGAAAAAAAAGTTCAAAATACGCACGAACTTCTGAGACAACCTTATAATTCTCATGCTCTTCCCATTCGCCCAATGCCGCCTTTTTGTTCAACTTCTTCCGTTTAGGTACATAGCATTCATCATCCATAGCTTCGTTGTACTGAGACTGTTAGGAGAGAAGACTGTCAACAGAATTGCACCAAACCAAGCACACATATTTGGTAGGTGACACGATAAATTGTGCGTCTGAGAAGAGGAAAATCGGATGCTTTGAAAAAAATCTGGGTCCCTTGGAAGCAAAACGTGACAGTTTCGCTGGAAAGAGCTCGCTAGTTGACCGGCAAGTCTCTCGAGTCCCTTTCAACATCTCGCCTCTTGCTCTAAAGCGCAAACCAACAGGTTTAAGCCTCTTTTCGAAATTTTTTCATCCTATTCACCACCTCTACTTTAATTTCCATCGGCAACCAACTTTTCGTGCCATTTCAAAAGGGAAGCAGTCGAACATTGCCATAAACCGTTTGTGCCTACAGTCCCTTACCTCTGTGGATAACACGAAGATATAAATGACGTCATGAAACAGATTCATATTCAATGTGGACATAACAACTTACATGACGTTTGGACGAGTCATTTTTTGCACCGACACTAGCTGTAGGGCTTGGAGCGGTTTGCTGGCGGCTACTATGAAAGAACTCGTTTAAGCAGATTGGCAAATGCATCTTACATGAAGTATTCGAAAAAAAATTTAAAAAAAAAACTTGAAAAAACACCTAAAACATACTTATCCTGCCTACTAGAGACAGCTGTCTTTGGAGCAGATTCTTGAGTGTCGTTGCGGTTCTGGTAACCTGAATAGTCAGAATCTCGACGACTGCTGCGATCCTCACTGAAACAATTTTTGATTACCTCGTTCATATAGACAATTGCTAAAAGTGAATTCAAAATAGTCACCGTTGATCGTAGTCGCGCAACTCACTACGTGAGAAGCCAGCGCCTCCGGACGTACGCTGAGCGTCCGGATAAGGACGGTTATTTGGATCAGCTACGAAGCGTTGTGTAACTGGAGGGGATCTTTCTCTACTCGGTATAATTCGAGATGACATGCGAGATGTTTCGCGTCTGATGCAGCTTTCGTCGATTTGCTGGCTGAATATCGACCCATCTGTGCCTCTTGGCTGGGTTTTGGAGCGACCATTCTCAAGAGTGGAACGACTATTTTGCGAACGGAAATGGTCACGAGCATCATGGTAGTCGTTCTCTACGCGGCGATCTGTCGCACTAGATCGGAAGTTTTGCTCTTCACGAAGACGGCTTCCCCTAGAATCCGCTTAACAATTATACGGAATACGTCACGAACAACATTACATTGTATGCACCGCCACACACCTTCCGGAAGGAACTTCCTCATGTGGTCGGAATGGGGCATCATTGCGATAGTATCCATCACGGTCCTTAACATGTTATACTGAAGCGGTGCTATCATGAACATACGATAATCTTTGGTTTTAGTTTGATTACTCGCGTTTCAATAAATAATTAGAAATTATTTAATTAATTAATTAGAATTCAATAAATAATTGGAAATGAATAGAGTCGAATAAATTATTCTGTAAATTACAAATATAAGGAACAAATCAATCGCAGTACCTGTCGAGATTCAACATTTCCTCTACGATCGTACCGATCTTGTTGCGATTCACCACTTTCTCTGCGACCGTACCGGTCTTGGTTAATTTCAATATTTCCTCTACGATCGTACCGATCCCGTTGGAATTCACCTATTTCTCTGCGATCGTAATGGTCCTGGTTAATTTCAGTATCTCCTCTACGATCGTACCGATCCCGTTGGAATTCACCACTTTCTCTGCGATCGTACCGGTCCTGGTTAATTTCATTGTCTCCTCTGCGATCGTACCGGTCCTGCTGAGAATCTGTGTGAGCTCGACGCTCATACAAATTCCTTGTACGGTTTTCGGTCCCACCATCAGCAGGAGCACGAGTTCCATGAGGTGATTTGAACTCATTCCTTTCCTAAATACATTCAAATAGGACCTGGTTCTCAATCATGAGCTGACGTTTTTTGGTTAAAAGATACCTCTTGAATTCCGAAAGATTTACAAGCTTCGAAAGCGGAACGATGACGTGGAGTCGAGGCAGTGGGAGGTGGTTGTGTAGAAATGTTTGCAGACAAGCCTGATCCGACTGGGGCATGTGGCACTGTGGATGAAGGAGGTTCATTCCTTGCCGTTGGTTTC